GACGGGGATCGAGGCCTTTCGGATGGACTGACCGGACGGCGTCGGAACCGGCGCGCCGCGAAGCATGCCGCCGTGAACAACGCCGCCGATCCCCGCCACCTTAGCCGCCGCCCTCATGACTCCGCCTCCCATTGATATTGATTGGACCCTGTGAAAAGCGTGTGTGATAAAAACCCTTGAGATCACTCGACTCTCTCGCTCTCCGTTTCCTTCCTCTTGAGGTCTCTCTGAGTCCGAGAGGTGATGAGATTTATTTAGAGACAGAAAGAGGAGGGAGAGAGAAAGAATGAGGGAATAAAGGAGTTATTATCTTCAGAATCTGTGGCCCTGTCACCTTGATGATCGCTCTCGTGCTGCCACGTGTGGGATAAAAATAGTTTTATGTTTTTAATTAACAGTGGATAAAATGGTTGTTTTTTTCTTTTTTTACCGTTGGTCGATGGATAAATCATAAATTTGTGTTCTTTTATATTCTTTTAGTTTAATTTGTTGGAGCTTCAGTTTTAGCTCTCAACTATTTTTGACTTTCTGTTAACTTTCTTTTAAATTTAAAATTTTATAGTCAAACTCTGAAGAAAATAGAAGATTCTATTTTTCTTTCTTTTTACTTTCTTCTTTAAGAAGTGAGCAATGGTTTCATTTTAAAAATAATAATAATAATAATAAGGGCAAAAATGTAGTAATGGCTCTTCAACTAAGACCCGACTTGACCTTTTTGTCTTTCTGTCAGATAGGTATCTGATTCAATTAGAGAGTGGGAGGAGATTTTTCTTTTCCTTCAAACAGAGGTCATCGCAAAAACCAACGGAAATCCATATGACAGGAGGAATACCCATTGGACAAACGACTCCATCCATTCTCATTTTCCTCTGCGAGCTCTAATGGGGAAACCAAGGAGAAAAGTGGATGGCACCTCAACCACATGAAGAGGTCCAGCTGCGTAGAAATCATGGAACCCCAAAGGATTTGTTACCCATGCGCTCTGGTTAAAGAAATCTCACCAAAAGGGAGTGAATGGAAAGAAGTAGAAAAATGGGAATGGAGGATCGATAGAATTAGGGTTCTAAGCGCCTATAAAAGGGAGCTTTCTCTACCCAGCAAAACAACCACATTCAGAGAGCAAGCTTCATCTCTCATCCCTGAAATCTCTGCAATTTTGAGCCCCATTCCTCCATCTCTTCCCATTTTCTCTTCTGGTAAATCATCTAGAGCGCGACCAAGCTTTGTCAAGCGGCTGGGAATTTACTCAAGACACCCCATTCTCTATTCCCATCTCCACCTCTCTTCCTTAGTCAAAAATCTCTTCAGATCTCTCTCCCCCTTGCCTTGAATATTTGTTTCCATAAGAAATTCAAGCTTTTGTCTCTCTATCAGATTGCTAAACTTGTGAAGGCTTAGCTCCCATGCCACAAGCTCCTCAAGCCAAGCCAATCAATTGCTAATTTGTCACGTTTATTTGATTGATTGGTGAAAGAATCCAGGGTGTTTTCTAAGGTTGTCACTACTCCTTTCAAAACTCTATTGGAGCCTGATCTTTGAACTCAGAAACAGGGGCAATCTCCTCTGCTCATCCTTTACAGCAACCCAAGCCCATTCGTCTGGCTGCTGGAACAAAAAGACCCATACACCTTTTCTTTTGGACCTTCTCCCTTCTCCCTTCTCCTCATGACATGTGTCATTTTTTTTTAACACTTAAAACAATGACATTAATCCATTAAGACAATATATATTTTGTTCCCAAATTTACCCTTATTAAATATATTGACGCAGAAGGTATTTTAAGAGACTCCCTTGGAAATTGGATTAAAGGCTTTACTATAAACTTAGGTGCTGGTTCCATTGTTGAGGGAGGGAGGCTGAACTTTGGGGAATATTCTATGGTATTAACTTGGCTTGGCATATTGGTTTCAGAGTGGTGGAGATCGAATGTGATTCCAGTTCAAACCCAATTGCCCTGTTAAATAATCCAATTGCTCAAACCCACCCTCTGTTCAGTATTATGAAAATGCGTGAAGATTGGAACTGCTCTATCAAGCATGTCTTTCGACAGCAAAATTATTCTGCTGATGCCTTGGCTGCCAAAACTCATGAGTTTACTCATGCATGGCCTCAATGTTTTTTAAGAAACTCCTGCCTTCCTCAGAGCCATTTTAGATGCTCATGCTCGAGGTGCTGCTAGACCTCGCCTTGTTCCTATTTAATTGTTTCTGTTTTGGGGCGTTTGCCCTCCCCTGTACCCCAAAAAACAACACTCAAATAGATGTGTTTTTTTATTTTTCAAGAACACTCAAATAGTTTGATTTATGTAAAAACCCAAGCAAAAATTCAAGCACAAGTATGGAAAATCCCATCCAAACCCAAACCCTAATTTTTGGCCCAATATTGTAGACCGGATTGTTTTGATACGTGAAAGGCCTTGCTTCAATGCCCATTGTGTAGTTCAGTGACTATTCAAATTGAGTTTAACGGGGAGAAAATCCTTGATTTATTCAGTACA